GACATAAAAAGGGGAAAACGTTGGTTTGACTCTTACATAGATTGTTTACCCATGTAAATTCCAGGTGTGGGGGTGTGGGCACGCTTGGTAATGGAGTAATCTACTCTGATTACCCTCCCGTCGATCTCCATACCGTTGGCTCTCTCCATTGCCTGAGAAACAAACGTCCAGAGTCAAGGATCAGCATCATATGCGCAGTCGGCATGGATGCCTTGACTCGGAGGTCGACTGTAACGATACTGACATCTAGTGGTGCACTCGCGTAATCACACGTGCCCAGCAAAGAATGGAGACGGTGCGTGTTGCCATACGACGACACATGGCGCAATTTGAAAACAGGTTTACTTGAGATGACACGTCATCTCGTTGGAGCAACACCGCACTGGACTGTGTCTATGCTACTGTACGGTAATTACTGCCACAGAAGCAGTTTTGGTCCAAGGAAATGCACGTTATTCAACATATAGAGGCGACGAGTCGCAATAAAATGAAACAAGTCAACCTTACCTCCTTTGAATCTTCCAGTCTCTCAAAGTAAACGAAGGCATATCCTCGCGAGCGGCCCGAGCGCTGGTGGAACACCACGTTGACACCAGTCAGACGACCGTACTGTGAAAACACGTGCCTCAGGTCTCGCGCTGTGGTCTCCAAGCTTAGGCCAAATACCCCCAAACATTTGCTGGGATCGGGGTTTGCCTAGAAGGGGTCAACAATAACGCTTTTGGTTGATCGCATTCCGTTCTTGTTCGGTGCATACAAATGTCCAATTGCAACCTTTTCCGGCCTACTTTGATCATTTCTGCAAGCGGAACAGCGTTCAAACCCTTGACAGATTTAATAACCCATTCGACAACTTTAAAAACCCGAGGCGGGTCGTTTTGACCTCAATCAACATGGAGTTTATCAGCGGTTACGAGCACACCGAACGGAATCTCTGAGGTATCAATCGGGTGAGCCTCATTCAAAATGCTGAGTTACCGTTACGTGTACGCGATGTGTCCCACTTACGTGCGATTCCACCCGAGAAATCACATGCACAATTACCACACCACGCCCGCCCAAAATAAGGCCCAAGGTCCACCTACCCTATCGACTAGCCCGCCGTGGCTGTTCGCTTCTTTGGCTTCATGGCTCTGTTGATAGAATGAAATAACAGCAACGGTTATTGAATGTGCCGTCAGAGTGCTTTTGCCACAGCATGAACCGCAATTACTTGAAAAATTCCCGCGTGCGACGCACACATTCGGCCTGTTAAGTTCGTTGATTCGTCGCAAGATAACTTCGAAAAGGTTTGCGGCGCTACCGCAGCCTAATTGGACTCGACTGTTCCGAGTGACGGTTCGTCTTTTTCTCGACAGAGCGGTACCAATCGGATGATGTTGAGGTTGTTGTTTTGCCCTGAGTTAAACAAAAAAACAACAATTAAAGACAGCTGCAGACAGTGAATAAAAGCGGAGCCTCGGAGTCGAGCCAAAGGCTGTTTATGTTTTCGTCGTGAAGTCATACAATGAGGTTGTCCGTAGCCGCACAGTCAAGAGAATAACTACACATTGGATGTTGTAGCACTGCCAACATTTTTGGCTCGCTTGCCAAGCCGTGCGAAGGGCTGCATACTGAATGCACGCTTTTCGCCTTTTGCAGCGGAACTTGGCGTGACAGTTTAAATACTGCTTGACAGTGATGATTGGTCAGGGTCAACAAGGCCTTCTCTGCTGGCCTCAACAGCCAAAACCCAAATTCTAATGTTTGCTCCGGGTACGCGTGCGTATTCATCTAAACCTAACAGCCGATGCTCTTCAATTTGTCACATTTCTCTTTGCTAGACTGCTTCCAGGACTTAAAAAAGTTAGTTTTTTTTTT